CGGGCCGCAGGTTGAGCACCCCTAATGTAAACGCTTTATAAAGTCGCACATTAAGTTCCATATTCTTGCAATTTGAAATTGTACATCGTGGTTCATGTTCACGTGGTTTAAAATTACGTATCGGCATACAATGCATTCATGCGATTTAAAGTTAGACATTATGATTCATATTCACACGATGTAAAAATCTGACATCAGGACTCGTATTCACTCTATTTATGAATCACACTGAGATTCACATTTCAAAAATTTTTTTCCCTTAAAAAAAATCGGGCATCAATATTTTTTACAATCAATATTTCTTTTCATATATTTTTTGTTATTCATATTCATTTGTTATTCATTTTAGTAAATTTTTTATTATCAGTAGTATTTAATAATCTATAATGATAATTTTTATTCTAAGAATACATGATTCCTATGTCTACTTTTTTCTTGTTTAAATTTTAGGTATTTTTTTTTATGATTCAAAAACGAGTTTCGCGAATAACATTTTTGGATTTTATTTTCATCTTTTTTGGATTTTTATCAACTTATCCTAAGAACCTAATAATCGCATACTAAGACACAGTCTTCATAGTTCGAGAGCCTGTTCTTAATTATGCTTATTACTTTGAACGATATTTTAAGTTACTAAATTCACAAATTCTTTGAATAAACGTACCTTTTTTTCTACTACAGATTTGAATCAATGATCCTCAAAGTAGACTTAATCTGGGAAATATAATCTCAAAAGTTTGATCAGGAGAGGGGTTGAAAGTTTAATTTTAATGATAATTTTATTTTCTGCATATTTTTCCATGTTTTAAGAACTTTTTAAACAGAAGAAGAAAAACACAAAAATTTTACTCAATTATAAAATTTATTATTATTTTTAGGGTGGTTACCAGCCTAGGAAACCTTGAATACTTGAAATTATCAGGAAATTTTTTTTATATTGTAAAAAACCTGGGAAAAAAAATCATTGAATTTCCAAGAGAAACTGGAATTTTCCCCCCTTGTATTTCTTTACTTTTCTATTTTAAAATCCATTATACTCACTTTTTTATATGGAAATTTATTGCAAAATGGTCGAAGTATCATTTACATATCAATACTTTGCTTGCATCAAAACTTGCTCCCTTATAACCCTGTTAAACTAGATAACAACGCCATGTGAAACTCCCCCATAGCTGTTAAATAAAAAGAAAAACCTTTGACCTCTTTGAGACTTGGGACTATGCAATTTATGAAAGGCAAAAATTCTGGTCGGGTGAAAGAAAGGGTTAAGATATTTGCTTCTGTTAATCAAGGGGTTTTCTTCTAGTTTGTGGGCTGAATCTATTTATTGTTCAAACTCATTCTGATGCTTTGGAGATTTTTTTTTTTTGACAAAATGTTGTAGTATTTTTAACTTTATAAAGTATTTATAAAATTTTAGTATTTTTAACTCTATAACCAAAAGTTATTTGGTTATCATTTAATAACTATAGATTTTATATTGCACTTTTTCTGAAAGCTTCTGTACTCCCATCCAATTATGTTAATGACATTTACTTTTACTGTTTTGTTGGTAAATATTTGACTTTCAGTTCCAAATTCAAATTAAGCAGTTAATAAAAAATAAAAATAAAAAACGGAAATATGTAATTGTAGCTTACATTCTAGAGATATTTCTGAAGCTGTTTCTCTCTTTTCCTAAAAAGCTGGAAAAACTTAAAGAATGGATGGGAAACATGTTAAATGATGTATAAACGTAGAATATAAAAATTTTTTATTGATTTATTGAGAAGAAGAAAAAACTAAAATTCTTTAAATATTTTGATTTCAAGTAAAAAAGAAACAAAAAATCGAATAAAATTTCAAGAATTTTATTTAGCTTTTCTCTATAGAGTTCTCGGCTAGAAATTTGAAAATTTTCCATTTGCGACATTCAATTTTGTGTACTGAAACGCTCTTAAAATGCTAATTCAAAAACATTAATATTTGATTTTAGATATTCGTTTGAAGAAAGTACGATAAATGAATATTATAATATGGGTTTGTCACTGTTTGGACGAAATACGGTGAAATGGCTCTATATTTAAATGTAAATAAATTTTTAAATAGCAAAGAAATATATAGAAAAAATTTATTGTTACATAATCGCCGGGAATTATTATTATTATTATTATTTTTTTTTTTTTTGCTCAATAACAATTAGTTGAACAATACTTGTCCAAGGTTTTAGATCACTCTGTATTTGCAATTTGTTACACTGTGCAAAACTACTTAAATTTTAAAGTAACACATTAAAACATTTTTTATTCAATAAAATCCATATATTCTACAAAATCTAAACATATTATTTTCCTCTCAGCTATCTTAGTTTTTAAAAAATTTATGTGTAACAAAACATTATAAATTTAAATAATAAAAACAAGTCTTGCTAAGTTGTTGTTATAAATTTAATCTAATTATTTTTTCAAGATTGTATATTTAAAAATATATATAAATTTTAAATGAAATACTTAAGAATATTGAGACTTAAATATTCATCCTACACTTTGTGTGGGTAAAAAGAAAAAAAAAAAAAACATGATGACCTGAAAAATGTTTCTAGAAAAAATCAAGGAAATTTGAAACCTGATATGAGTGGCCCCTCTGATTTTTTTTTCCTAATAATAGTTAAATATTTTGTGTTGTAGGGTATACAAATTTTTCATGATTTTGTGGAATGTTATTTCATATGGCAAAGTACAACATTATAACAAAATCTGAATTGTTCATAAAAATCAAATTTTAAGTATACGTCTTTTTTGAAATATAACCTTTTACACTGTAGTTGCATTTTTTTAAAGTTTTTTTGTTTGTTTATTTTTAGTTTAGCTAAATATGGTATGTCTAGATTTTTTAAGAAAAATGATCAGGCTTCATCGGGAGACGCTGTTGCGTTAGGCTACAAAACAAAAACTCAAAGTATGTTCATTTTATTTTTAAGAAAATTGTACTTTCTTTAAATTGTGATAATGGTTTCTCTTTTATTACACATTGCTTTTATTTTATTATTATGCTCTTATTTATTATTTTAATGTCATTAGTTTGATTTTGATTTTTTTTTTTTTTTTTTACTGCAGATGAAGCTGAATTACAAGAACGAATATCACTAGCTAATTTTCAAAAGCTTGTAAATCACACTTACGAAATGTTAGCATTATGGAAAATACTTTGTGATCACCAATTTCATGCCATTCTGAACTATCTTACCCCGGTAATAAGTCTAATCTTATAATTTTTTATACTTTGTTAAGTTGATATAAAATGCTCTGTTTTGCTTCTGTCCCGGCCCTTCTTAAAGGAGAAAATAAAATTTTGGTGAAATGGGCAATTTTGTAATAAAAATGTAGACCGAATGATAAAACTATTTATCAAAGTGTCATAGCATCCCTTTACATTGATTGTTGATCGGAAGGGCCACAGGAGTGTTTGTGGTTTGAAAATTTGGTGCCACCTTTTGCAAATTATTACGCTGAATTTCTTTCTAAAAAAAAGAAACTTTTCTTTTCAAAAAATTTCAGTTACATATTTAAAACATATTTAAAAGTAATTTTAAGAGATAAAGACTAAGAGAGTTCTAAATAAAGACAGCTTCCTCAAATTTGATACTTAAAATATTTTTAAACACCCTTCTTATGTTACATTTTCAAATGTACTAACAAACAAGCTAAAAAGCTGCACACTAAATGCAGCACTGTAAAATTGCGCAATAAGAAGTAAGAATTTTATATACTTTTAATATAATCTGTATTTGTGTTAAGTAAAGTAATATATGTTGACTACATTCTTTAGGACCACTCTCCCCCAAAAGTAAATGGTTATAACAACCAAAGCAAAAAATCATAATTTTAATATTTTTGTTTCTTTTTAAATAATTTTCTGGAAAATTATTTTAAAAACAAGTGTACATCAAAAAGCAATATTCTTGTATTTCTGGAGCAACAGAAACGGCAAATGATTTAAGCCATTACTTTTCTAGATTATCTGACATTATATTTGCAGATCTGTAAAATAAATGTAATATGTGAAACTAAATCCAAATCATAAATGTAAAATAGTTTTTTTTCCTTTTCAGATGCAACTTGATCTGTTAAGACTGCTTACATTTAAAGATTTCGTCATAGATGGAAGAGAGGTGTGTTCATTAATATTAATTTAGTTTATGTGGAAGTTATGATGTGTACACTACCGGTCAAAAGTTTAGACTCACTCTTGAATTTTTAAAAATAGACAAATAACAATTTAAAATGACTTCTTTTAAACTGAAAATTACATTAAATTAACTTTATTTTGAGAAATGTAGGTACGCTTATATGGTAAGAACTATAATTTTATGCATAACTTATGAATTTCGTCCAATCTTGGATTCTTCGAAATATCCTCCTTTAGGCTTTATCATAGCAGCACATATTTCTGGCATTCTTTCTATTGGTTTTTTCAGGGGTTCCCAACCCTATGCCCGCGGGCACCATGGCGCCCGTCGATCGGTCTAGGTGCGCCCGCTGGTTAAGCCCTACTATAAAATATTTTAGTGTTCCATTTTCCCATTAAATGCTATGCAAATTTTATGCTATGCAAATACATACTGAAGTACAGTAAAGACAAAGTACTTGATAGATTTCTACATTTAATTGAAGAAATAAAAAATTGTCTTGCAGCCCAAAAATCAAACATTTTATTTTTAGAACTAAGAGATCCTCTTTGGCTAGCAGACTTGTCTTTCATAACGGACATAATGGAAAAACTTGATAATTTAAACTTGGAGCTGCAGGGAAAGGACAAACATATAGCAAAAATGATAGAGGCTATAAACTCGTTCAGAGCTAGGATAGTTTTGTGATATCACATTTGAAAAATGAAGCCTCTTGTGCATCTTCCAAGCATGGAAAAAAAATGATAGGTAACAGTGAAATTGACTTATCAGCATTTGTCATCAACCTCCAATTGCTTAAAGATCAATATGAAAAGCACTTTCAACAATTTAATATCATCGAGCCTTTGATAACATTTTTGTTAATTCTTTTAAAAACCAAATAAACGTAACCGTAATAGCAACATACATTTCAGAATTTCTTCAAGTAAAGCGAGAAGAATTGGANATTGTGGCTCTTCAGAATGACATTATCCTCAAAACTATTATATCAGATGAGAAATTCTGGAATATAGTTGAAGGAATAAATTCCATTCTTAAAAAGAGCAGCTCATAAAATAAAGTCGTTTCTTGGTTCCACATACTTGTGTGAATTATTGTTTTTGACTATGAATATCATAAAATCAAAATATAGATCCCGACTTACAGATGAACACCTTGACGATAGCTTGCGAGCAGGAATTTCATCATATTCTCTCAATTATGAAGCGCTGGCCAGTGAAATGCCATGCCAAAGACCACATTGACTGTATTTTATAAATAGTTTTTATACTTCGCATGTTTTGAAAGCACTTTAGTAATCATTTATTTTACACAGGAATATTAATACTAATTATATTCATATGTTAAATTAATTTTTTCAATTAAATTTTTGCGCATTATATGTAGTGTGTATTATTACCTATGTCTATCAACTATAAATTTATCTTGAAAAAATAAATGGTGCCCGCCATTCGAACGATATTCTGGTATTTGCTCTTTGGAACGAAAAGGTTGGGGACCCCTGTTCTAGATGATATCTGGTTCCAGCAACTAAGCAAAGATTCCCAAAGCTTGTTTTGATTGGTACATCTCATTTTTGTAGCATTTCTACTGAGTTCACCCCACAATAGCTCAATAGGATTAATATCAGGGGATTGAGGGGGCCAATCCATGTATTTCAGTACTTTTTTCTTTTCTTTTGATTGAATGTTTGTAGTTTCTACACAATCTCGATGAATGTTTTGGATCATTATCTTGCTGAAAAACAAATCCCTGATCAACGATTCTCTATCCACATGGAAAAGCGTAATGCTGCAATATTCTGTTATAATATTTTTTATCCATAATACCCTCTATTCTTACAAGATCTCCAACTTTATCACCGGCAAAACATCCCCAAATCATGACTGAACCTCCACCATGCTTCACAGTTCATAGTAAACATTGACTTGTCATACATTTACCAACTAAATGATGAACATACTGCCTTCGTTTGCTTCCAAACAATTCCAATTTTGATTCGTCCGTAAACGAAACCTTTGACCACTGTTCTAAAGACCAGGTAACATGTTTTTTAGCCCATTTCCGTCGTTTTACTTTATTTTTTCAAAAGAGGTTTTCTAGCAGCTACACAGCCTTTTAAACCATAGTCACGAAGTCGATGTTGTACAGTAGATACTGACACAATTTTCTCCGAGTAACATTCTATTTCTTACAGATATCTGGTGTTCGAGTCCGCTGCCACTTACTTTGAATGCGGATAAACTTAACCTCACATTTGGACATTATTCTAGGTCGCCCTGATCGCTGGCGGCTCTTATTTTGGCCAGTTTCTTTCTTCCTTTGCAAAGTTCTGACAACAGTGGTCTGAGAAACATTAGTTTAAGAGGCAATTTGTCTACTTGAATAGCCTTCTGCATGAAGTGCAATAATAACTGCACGTGTTTCCACACTTATTTCTCGTTTTTGACCCATATTTCTGTAATAAATTGTATAAAAAAATAAATTTCTGTTTTACCAGTTATTCTGGCTAATTAAGGCTATTATATCAATATTTAAAATTTGTCATGTACATGAACATAACTTATAATTAACCCCATAAAAGAAGATGAAAAGTAAATTGTTTATAAACTAAGAATTAATAAAATTTTTTAAATAAATTACACTTGTTTTAGAATAGGTACTTACATGCACTTTCGTTCATTTCGTTATCAACTACAGAATAGATACAAAATGAAAAAATAATGAACAGTTTTAAAAGAAAACAGAGTTTTGAGATGTTTGTTTATGATTATGTTTGATAAATTGTATGTTTAAGTCAGAAACATTTAACTATTTTTGAAAAATTTGAAATAAATACAAGTGAGTTTAAACTTTTGACCGGTAGTGTATATATATCAGAGTTTGTATGCGCCAGGAATATCGGGAAAATCAGAAATTCTCCTGGAAAATGAGATTTGAAAAAACAGCTAGGGAAAACCTAATTTTACCCCAAAACGTGGAAATGGTCAGAGAGTTTAAGATCCCATCAAATAGTGGGATTCCAATCTTCCGTTTTTTTTAATACCATAATTTGCGTTTGTGCAACAGAGGAATTTAAAATTAAAAAAAGAAATTCTAGACCAACTATTTATTAAGTATATCATTACGATTCTTTTATTAGTTTATAGAGTGTTGTGGATTGAATTTCTGAATTTAGTAACTTGAAGTTTCTTCCTTATAAGAACTGAAATGTTAGTTTGTTTTTTAATCTACTTTTGTTTCCAAATATTTGTTATTTTTTATTTATTATGACAAATTATTGTTTTATAATTTCTAATAATTCAATAATTATTACAAACAAAATAATTTTTATGGTCTGCTGTATTTATTTATTTGATAATGAAAGAAAAAATATGGTTTAATCGAATATATTCTTATTTCTCAGAGATGTATCATTTGAAAGTTTCACCTGATTGTGTTATATATATATATGTGTGTATATATATACATATATATATACAAGGAAAATTACAGACATATGAAAAAAGGGGGGGGAGATAAACAGGATAGCCACGGATAAACAGGCAAACGTGCAGAATTACGTGCAAAACAGGCAATTCATGTTTCTCTTTTCTTTTTAATATTTTTTTCTTAAATAAATATTTACTTTCTAAAATTATTTATGGTCAACTTCTTTAAATTATCCAGTATAATATTACCTTGCTCAGATCCATTTTCGGGCCCTTCCTTGGTAATTAACAAATCAAACGCACTTCAGCAATGCAGTAAGAACGGCACTTTAAAGCAAAACTGCTCTAGTTACGCTCAATTTGCACTTTTGTTTTCATATTTTGCAATCTGGCAATCTTGTTACGCAAAAAATATTTTAAACCATTCTTGAAAAATTTCCCGTTCATGTAAGTACATTTGAATTCGCTACTCGCCTTATAGATTATGTTTTATTCTCTTTTTTCTCTTTATTTTATTTTATTTTATTTTCTGTTTTTACATGTTATTTTTACTTATTGTGTTCTATTTTATTTGTCTTTATTTTTGTAAAAAAATTTTTGAGTGCTCCTCACACTATTGTATTGATATATTTTACTTTGGCTGCATTGATTCAATATTAGAGCACTCTTTTTTGCGGATATGATCGTGTGGGCTGATAAAAAGATTATATCTTTTATTTTCTAGATTTTTAAAAAAATTTTATCCTTTTTCTTCCCCCAGTTTGTTATTTTTTATTATTTTTCGTTTCCCCCTTTTTTCATGATTTTCCTTTGTTTTATCTTCATTTTGAACTTATGAGTTTACTTGCAGCTTATGCGCAATAAATGAAACTTATTGTTTTTCTTAATCTCGTGTTCTTCGTGTTTTTTTTATTTATTTTGCTGTATGTATGTATGTGTATATATGTATATATTGTTGCTTTTTACTTTCTTTTAATATAGTTACTATTTAGTATTAACTGTTATTTGATTAAATAAAGACATTTTATTAAGAAATAACAGTTTTGTGAAGTTTTTTAAAATAATGAAAGAGCATCTTTAAAATATTTAAAAATAAATTGGTAATTGGTAAAAAAAATTTTTTTATTAATATTTAAAAAAAGTGATGCTTTTAAAAATCCTAATTGAGTTAAAATAATAATTTTTACTTATAATTAATTGTTAATATTTAAATTTATGAAGAACTATCTTCTCTATAAATATTCTCATGGGTAAATTTTAGTTCCATGCAATCATTCTTTCCTTCAGATGTCAGAATTTTATTGTCCCGCAATGGACTGATCG